TTCAACTCCAGTGCACTCAAGGCTTACATCTGGAGCTGTTCCCATATCTGTGATAATAGTTTGGGCCATTTCTAAGTGATTAAATTGTTTTAAATCAATCAGATATGTCTTGTCTGCGCCCAACTTTATGGCCAAATCTAATTGACTTTTCCTGACATCAGTTACAAATACTTTGTTTGCACCGAAAGCTTTGGCACAAAGCAAACTCATTAGACCGATAGTACCGGCCCCACACACCAACACATTATGGCCGGCACTCAATTGAACTCTTCGGGCCGCGTGTACTACCACTGCAAACGGCTCACACATCGCTCCCTCCTCTGCCGATACATTATCTGAAAGCCTTTTAACAGTTATTCCATAAACTTAGGTCTATTCTCAATGACATAATATAGTATATTATACAATACTTGTGGCAAAAAAGTGCCGGATGAGTGTAATATTGCTGGAGACATCCGTCCATCGGTGGTAAACCACGCGATTGTAGATTAGAAAGTGGACACAAGTTGTAGCGACCGGAGCGACAAATGTCACACTCATGACAAGGGATAGCTGGCTCTACAGCCACTCTATCCCTAGGTTTTAAGTTTTCTACCCTATCTCCGACGGCAACCACTATAGCACTGGATTCGTGGCCAATCACGTAGGGGTTACCCACTATAAAGTCTGCCACATATCCCTCACTCCATAAATGAATATCAGTTCCACATATTCCACAACTTTTTACATTTAATTTACAAAGTTTTCAATTAAATAAAACAATGTTTAATATAAAAGCTGTAATATTTATACATATAATTACCAAATAGTTTTCAGTAGACATTCTGTTTAAAAAATAATATATTAATATAGATATTATTTAATTAGACAAATACCTACCAAATGGCTCTAATTTGTGAGGGACTGGTGTTTGTTGTAATCTTAAATCATTTTTTCCGTGCAATACAACCGATAAATTAGTCGTAATTTCATTCATTTTTAGGATAACTATTATATATTTTGTTGACAAATGAATCTAACACTTGATTTAATTAAATATTGTAAATGTTTGTCTATAAATGATAATTTAGTAAAACTTATTCCTTATGACTGCACTCTTGTTTTTATGTTTCAATTTTTCACTTAATCTTATAATCAGTAAATAAACTATACTTTCAAAATAGATACTTTTAGTTTAGTTTACTTTACCATAATAAGTTGTACATTTTGTAATTAATTTTTATTAAAGTATTGGGACTCGCCTAAAAGACCTAAAACCAAAAAGACCTAAACTTAAATAACTAACTGACCAGTGGTCATTTGGCTTAATTTTGGTTATGGTAAGTTAGGTGAGGTGAGAACACGTCTATTCCACTTATCAAATTAAAAATATGTCCATTGGTCAGTTAGTTATTTAAGTTTAGGTCTTTTGGGGTAGAACCCTAAAGTTTAGACTCTAAACTTTAATCTCAACATTGTTTAAATATTACAGTTACTGTATACACAATTTCGATATAACTTTAAGATAATTCATTGAATCAATCAATTAATTATTTAAAACTCTTAGAAAAAATTAATTTATTAATTTTAAAAATGATTATTTTAAAAATTCTTTAACCCAGTGGAGTTAATAACGTTTGCCTATAATTTGTTCAATTATATATTGTACTACCGGTAATAAAACTAAATTATTTTGACAAATATTATGTATGATAGCTATATTTCAAAAGTATAGATTTAGTAACTAAATAAATTAATTGAATGCATCTAATATTAGTATTTTTAGTTTTAACTTTAAGTTTTACGGTAATAATATTTTTAAAAATTTTCTACAGACATTAAATATAACTTGCTAAATATAACTTAAAATTTAGTAAATTAGTTAATAAGATTTTTTAAAACAAAAATTTAGAGTCAATCTGATCAATTTTGAGCAGGGTTATCATAGCTTTTCAATTACTTAGTCAGTTTATACCATTTACTTACAATAACCTAAATAAATTATATTAAATTTTAAGTAAATTCTAAATTGCATAGCATTAAATAGATGAGCAAGCATATTTGCAATTTCATAAAAATGCATTAAATTGTTTGAAAAGTTATCCCAAAAGTTGAGTGAATGTGTTGTGAGTCGACATCTGACGGGCTTTCGATGATTGAAAGCATTTGACTGATTCAGCAGTGATTCCGCACTTTTCACTCAATTCACTGGCAATTGGTTTGACATTCATTTGACGGCAATTGGGAAGCGATTATCACATACTATACTAATTGTGGTCAACACAGAGGAATGGGTGTGAATCGGATGGAAACGGATTCAGTGGACGTGAGGGGAGAGGGACTCAAACAGTACTACATCACGAAGATTGAAGAGTTGCAGCTCATAGTGACCGACAAGAACCAGAA